GTCAAGAATTAAAAAAAAACAAAAACAACTAATTTAGAGAAAATATATTTTTTATCTTTTTTCTTTTCTTTTTTTTTGAAAAATAATAGAAAAGTGCGAAATCTTTTTGGATTTTTCAATTTTCATTTTTGTCTCTTTTCTTTGTCTTTTTCTTAAAAAAAATGTGAAAGAAAAACAAAACTGGGCCCTACTTGCTTTATTTTCACACTTCACCCTCTTTTCTTTCTCTTTTACCTCAGCCATCATTGGTCCGCCAAATGACCCTTTTACCTTGAAGAAATGCAACATGTAGCACATAGGATGCATCAGGATGATCTTTTATATTTGGGTACACCTTTCCTAGACGGACCCAACCCCTATGTTGAGTCCCCTAAGTCAAATGCACGTGATGCAAATAAACGTTCCTACTAGGGATCCAGCATGAGGTTATGTTCTTCTAAGTTTAAACCTGGGGTTGTGTTCTAGACTAGGTTTACCCAAGTGGACAACTCGAGCCGATGTGGGGGCAATGTACCGGGAGCACTAAAGTCTGCCCGGCCTTGTTGCTGGCCCATGCCTCGTTCTACGTGGTATGGCTTCTAACAGAAAGTGGTCCACGTGAACTTGTGCGCCAAATTATAGAAGACTCAGAAGGGTGGCGTAAGAAGGCATTTTAATAACATTCAAAGAATATTGAAATGGCATATAAAGGCAATTAGCACGTTATGTTCACAAAATGCAATAATATCAACAACAAATAAAGCCAAGCAAAATCATATTACAAGCTCGAACTCTTGAACCCTGAACCAGAAGTTCCGGGTTCTTGTCCCCAACGGAGTCGCCAGAGCTGTCACACCTCCTTTTTGACTACCCCGCAAAGGGGCATTAAGGGAGTTTTTCCAATTTAAGTGACAATCGAAACGGGATTATTTATTTAAGATTAGATTCGCCACTTGGGATAGTTTATGGTGTCCCAAGTCAATGATTTAGAATCCTGAATCGAGGAGATTTGACTCTGTTTTAATGTCTGCGAAACACAGAAATTCGGGTAAGGAATTCTGTTAACCCGAGAGAAGGTGTTAGGCATTCCTGGGTTCTGTGGTTCTAGCATGGTTGCTTTGATCATACTTGACTTAATTAAATTGTTTAATTACGTGTTTTAGAACCTATGTGCATTTTACCTTTTTTTATTAGGAAATTATCTTAAAACAGGTCACGCGTACGTGTACCCATTTGTTTGGCGCATCAAAAATCATGTCACACGTACGTGTACACAATTAATAACGCTTTATTATTATTAAGAAAGTTTAGTCGAAGTTGCGCGAACGCATACTCCGATTTTGTTTTTAAGATCGTAATTATGTCACGCGAACGTGTACACAACCACGATGGTATATTAAACGTGCCTAAAGCCATCTACGGATATTCATGCGTTATTCCTAAGCTATTTGAGATTGTTATGATGCCAAATTTATGGACAAGATATTATTGGGGCAAATAGGCTAGCTAACATGATCTATTTACTTCGCTAGATTCCCTATGGTCCAAGCCCCAACTTATGGCCCATTTTTATTCATTGCCAAGAAAGAAACAACTCCAAATTTTCCATATATCCAATTAAAGGCATTTATTCAAGAACCAAGACTACATACATCACAATCGAAATAAAACTAATTAAAACAATATAAATGAAAACTAAGAAATACTACTCAAACAACGTAAAATCACAAATCAACCAACACGCGCACTAAGCTATCATAACACAATGAAATGAGAATGAAAATTCAGAAATGAATCTTTTATTGATGAACAAAGCTGAAAATTTGCAAGTCAATCGGGCTAAACAGAGCAACAATTCTTCGATCGCAACACCGAAATTACAAACCAGAACCTCGAATCGACACCATAAAACTCGAAACCAAAGCGAAACTACTGTTTACTTGATTTTTAGACTGCAGCTATAGGGAGAGAACGCCAGCAACCTTCACCATGAGATCGGATGTAATTGATGATACGTTGGTCTTTTTCTTTAGTCCATGCTCCTTTGTTCGTATGAGCTTTTTCACAACAAGGTGAACGTCCCAAGACTTAGGACACTTTTCTTTTTTTCCAAGAATTGGACTTTTGGGTTGAGCTATAGAAAGATATTGATAGAGAAAACCAATAACTACGTACCCCTAATTGACTTTTTCACTACTACTGTATTAATTTCTCTTATTGATAAGACTGAAACTATAGTTTCTCTAAAGGAGGAAGAGGGAATAGAAGAAGCTATATATCTTAAGGGTGTGGTGGGGTAGGCATAAAGGGTAAGGTAGGGGCTACGAGTTTGATTGCAAGACTTTGGAACTATTGCATTTTCCAAACTCAACTGTCATTATTTATTAAAAAATTTCTTACAGTTGAGAGAGTATGTGGAGATCCGGCGCTGGGTTGGAGGAAGATGGGTGGAAAAAATGGCTCCGATAGGAATTGCGGCTGTCCGCTCTTAGGGTGTAGGTCCAGCTCTAGGAATTAGGCATTATTTTATAGGGGTAGGAATTAAATTAGGTCAAATAGGGAATGGGTAGGGGTCAATGTTTTTGGGCTATCAGAAATTAGGCCTTTTCAATTAAGACCTAACAAAATTAGCCTCATATTTCATACTCTTTCTTTTAAAACAAGACCAAAAATACTACACCATTTACTGATTAATCCTACTTAAGTAAAATAATTATTAAAATAAAACTAACCGTTAAAACAAACCTATTTTTGGTATTTTTCAAATATCATACTAAAAGATAAAAAATGGAATTAGATTAGAATCATTGCAAAAATTAAAATAATATTCCTAAAAACAAAGTCGAACTATTTTGGTATTTTTTGAATTTTATGTAAAGTAGATAAATTGAAAGTAACTAGATTAGCTAAAAAAAAATATTTTTGTAATTTTTATTTTTGTGATAAAATAAAGTAAAAGAAGCAAAACTAGCTAAAATATCGATATTAGACCTAAACTAAATATTTATATGCTAAAATACGTAAAATCTTGGGGAGGGTCAAAAATCACATGTCTACAGCTGGGACCTAACTGGTTATGAAGAAAATCAGATGGACACTCAGCAATACAACATTTTGCTTGATCAAAAGAAATTTCAAAATCATCAGGCCAAGTAGTTTTGAAAACATGGGAAAGCCGGAGCACTTATACTGAAAAATTGAGTCAAACATAGCACAATCAAGAACAATGTATCTTCCTAGAACTAGGGATTCTAACTTATCAGGCTTGCTAGAACGAAGATTGGCATTGAACATTCTCACTAAAGGTTCATAAACTTTGGGAGGGGGCATAGAGAGGAATTTAGACCATCCTTGAAAAACAAACAAATCCTTTACCTTACAATTGAGGACCTCCATGTCATCAAGATCGATTACTCTGCCGTGAGCCATGGGCTTTTCTTTGAGAGAAATAAAGAAATCCCTATTTGGGGTATCCCAGAAATTAAGGTCGGACTCTAGAGAACTCGAGAGGTCTACTATGGATTTCTTGGGGGTAAAAGATTCAAGGGGGTCTTCCATAGGCCTTTTGCCAAGAGCTTTTTCTCCTATTCGGTGAGAGTGGTCAGATGGTTATGTCTGAGAAGAGGAAAATCTTTCTGAGTGGTTAGACCCTAGGTCTACTTGTTCTGGAGGCTGAGAAGAGGGGTTTCCCTTAGAACGAGTACTTTTTCTAGTGGAGGAAGAAGAATTCATAGAGTGTTTAGCCATTGGAAATTTTGAAGAGGGGTTTCTAAGCGATAAGAACAATAAAGACAAGGGAGAATTGTTCAGAGGATTAAAAAGAAAGGATTTTGATGGTTGAGTGCAGGAAAGGAAAGTGTGTTAGTGAAGGATCATGATGATTGATTTTCCTTACTTGAAATCTGCGACTGATGGGAAAAGAGAGGGAAATCGGAGGCGCTTAATTAATGCATACTTACAGAGAAAATAAAACTAAAAACATTAGACATGCAAGAATTAAAATTAACACATAAGTCCTAATTTTTATGATCAAGTGAAATAATGCCAAGTAGTTCTCTTAGGGAGCAAAGTCTATCTTCAAGTAAAGGCTTAGTATAAATATCTGCTAATTGATCAGTGGTGCCAACAAATGATAATTCTATATCTCCCTTAAGGACATGATCTCTAATGAAATGATGTTTAATATCTATATGCTTAGCCCTAGAGTTATCACAAAATATTTGATTAGGTTTAGCAAATAGTACATAGTCACCCAGTTGATGAGACATCCATAGTAACTATGCACAGCATTGCCCAATAGCAATATATTCTGCCTCAGTTGTGGATAATGCAACTGAGCCTTGTTTCTTACTATTCTATGATATTAATGCCTTTCCTAGTATTGACATGTTCCGTTGGTGCTTTTTCTGTCTTCCTTATCACCTGTAAGATCAGCATCTAAAAAACCTTCAAGCTTAAAATTGTTAGAACGTGGGTACCTAGTCCATAAGAAATAGTTCCGATGAGATAACAGATTATTTTATTTACCGCAGTCAGTTGCGATTTCTTAGGAGCTGACTAAAACCTGGCATATTTACACACACTAAACATAATATCTGGTCGACTGGCAGTCAAGTAAAGCAAAGAGCCAATCATTCCACGATATTTAGTTTCATCAACTGGATTTCCTTTTTCGTCCTTGTCGAGACTTGTTCACGGGCTCATTTGTGTACCAATTGCTTTGTCACTGCTCATGCCAAACTTTTGAATTAATTTCTTTGTATATTTCGTCTGGCACACAAAAGTTCCTTCTTCAGATTGTTGAATTTGAAGTCCAAGGAAAACGTAAGATCTTCCATCATGCTCATTTCAAACTCACTATACCTCTTGTAAAACCATGGTCAAGTAGAAATGAGCTAAGCCTTTTGTACAAGGCTCGTGGAGTTTGTTTGAGCCCATACAGAGCTTTTGTCAAATTATACACATGGTAAGGGAATTTTGAGTCTTCAAAACCAGGAGGTTGTTTTACATATACCTTCTCATTAATAAAGCCATTTAAAAGCGCTTTTGACATCCATCTGGAAAAGTCTAAATCGTTTAAAGGATGCATATGCAAGATGAATCTGTATAGACTCTAGTCGAGCTACTGGTGTAGAGGTTTCGTCGTAGTCGACTCTTTCCTGCTGTGAGTAGCCTTGGGTTACTAATCTGGCTTTGTTTCTCACAACCTTTCCACCTTCATTAAGCTTATTTTTGAAAACCCATTTGGTTCTAACTATAGTGGCATTTGCAGGCTTAGGTAGTAATTCCCAGACTTGTTTTTTATCAAATTGATCGAGTTCCACCTTCATTGATTGTACCCAGCTGGAGTCTTTTAAGGTTTCCTCAACCTTCTTTGGTTCGATCTGAGAGATGAGTGCTACATTTGCCTTTTTCTTGAGAGCTCCCCTTGTTTCCATTCCTTCACTTGGATCTCCTATGATAAACTTATGAGGATATTCCGTATCACTTCTCCACTCATTTGGACGTGTTGCTATCGTATGAGTAGTTGACTCCTTCTGTCATTCTCGTTGACTATTGACAGTTTCATTAGTCGACTCTATGACACCGTCTGTATTATCAGTCGACTTTTGTGATTTGCTTGTCTGTGATGTTTCTTGGTTGATATCTTCATCACATGCAATAATTTCTTTCTCGGCCGTAATGTTTTTTCCATCAAATATGACATGTACCGATTCTTCTACAGATAAAATGTGTTTATTATAAACTCTAAAAGATCTACTCTTTATGGAATAACCAGGAAAAATACCTTCATCACTTCTTGGATCAAATTTTCCAAGATTTCCTTACCGTTGTTGTGGATAAAACACTTGTTGCCAAAAGGATGGAAATAGCCTATATTGGGCCGTTTACCTTTCCATAATTCATATGGAGTTTTCTTTAAGATACGTATTATAAGACATCTGTTGAGAATGTGGCGGGTGCTTACTGCTTCTGCCCAAAACTGATTTGGCAGGGAATGTTCCAATATCATTGATCTGGCTATATATTGTAGAGTTTGATTTTTCCGCTCAACTACTCCATTTTGTTGAGGTGATCTTGGAGCTGAAAAGTTGTGAGTATATCCTCGACCATTGCAGAAATCTTCAAATGCTCTACTTTCGAATTCTCCTCCATGATCATTTTGAATGGTTGTAATAAGGTACCATTTTTCTCTTTCAACTCTTTTACAGAAAATCTCAAAGTATTTCAAAGTTTCATCTTTATAAGATAAGAAAATCACCCATGTAAAATGTGAGTAGTGTCGCACCCTCTTTTTCCTTCGAAATTGGGTTTATGACATTCGGTTGGGACAACTCTTTCCTTTTGGGAAAGGGGTTTTAAAATACTGAAGAGTTGCCACCTAACGATTTTAAGGTGCGTTAGGGCACCTATGGGGTTCAACTATAACTACATTTGATAACCAGAGATAGGGTAAGGGCTTGAAATTATCCCAAGGGGAAGGTGTTAGGCACCCCTCAAGATCCACTAGTGTGGTTCCCGGCCAGATAGTTCTTTGTGAATTTGTGCAATTAACACGTAAACAAACAAGGCTTAAATAAGAGGGGATTTTAAATAGACAAGTGTTTGGAAATGATAAAATAAAGCAAAGTTTTGAAAGAGTTATAACTAAGCATGCTGATGAATATAAATGGTCCTAGGTTTGTTTGTAATATGAATCACATCAGTGCAATACCCAGTAATCACTCCTCAAAAGAGGGGCTACACGTGGTATTAGCGCACCGGTCATCATATCCATATCTACCCTTCCCACCCTGTAAAGGTATTTAAAGCGGAGATTGTTCTCGAACTCTATTGCATGCTATTACCCGTCCCATTCCTATCAGTCCCGGAGGAATTTGGGACTACTATTCCTATAATGGGGAGGATTTAGGCTGACTCTTAGGTTTAAAGGCAAAAGGCTAAGGCGACATACAAAACACGTAGGACTTCATTTAAAAAAGGGAAAAACATGTAGGCAGTTAGAGGCTCATATATTCCTTCGCAAATAGTTCATATAAATAGCACGACTCAAGCACAGTTAAAGTCTGAAGTTTAAAAATCCTAATATAGGGGATTTGAGTGAGAACTAGATTCATTATATAGCTCAGATAAGAGGTCCAAATCAGGCCCGCCTGCTGCTTGTAGCGGTTGCTAATTGGATAAAGGCGGATCCCATTTTATCATTATTATTGCCGAAGGTTTGCCTAGGCTTAATAGTGATGTCCTAGGAGCATGATATCTATTGCTGGTTAGGAATATAGTAAAGCAGTAAAAAGTTCTAAACGAGCGATTTGGATCCTATAGGCATGCTTTCTAAACCGCATTGATAAAGGAGTAGGTTGTTTAAACTAATTCAGAGTAGTACGAGTCAAACTGATTTATAGCTAAACTGGTTTTACATCCTATAGGCATGATTTCTATTACAACTGATTTTTATTCCTACAAACATGGTATCTAGGTATTTAAGGCTAATTTTGGTCCTATAGGCCTGGTATCTGATTGAACATGAAATTGAGTAGGCAGAATTTATTTGATCCCAGCGAAATTCCTATAGGCATGATCTCTATAAAAAGATTGATATTAACCTTATAGGCACGATATCTAATTTAGAAGCTTATCTTAGCTTTGTGAGCATGATGTCTGATTATAGCCATTAGGCCCTATAGGCAGGATTTCTAAGTGTGGAAGTAAAACATGCAGAACTTTATTAAACAGATCCTAAAGCAGGATATCTAAGTGTGGAAGTAAAGCATGCAGAATTTACTAAACAGATCCTGTAAGCAGGATATCTAAGTGTGCAAGTAAGACATGCAGAACAGATCCTATAGGCAGGATATCTACCCCTTAAAACATGCATAATTGCCCCATCCATTTTTACTAGCCAAACCCCAATGTTTGTTACAAATTATTACAAACCAAATACTTAAATTACAAAAGAAGTGCAGAAATGAGAATTTACAACCAAAAGAAGCTTGATCTTGACTTCCTGTCTGAGTTATATAATTAATCACTTCAGATGCCCATGGTGTTCAAAGCCTTTCTCAATACCTGGTTGTGTCAAAGTTCCCTAAGGGTCTCAAGGGACCCCGGGCAGTGCTTACACCTAGGTTTGCATAACCAGACAAGAATGAGCGTAGTGTGGAAGGGCCAGCCCTTATGTTTCCAAGTTCAGAGGGAGCTCAAGGGTCCCAAGGCAAGGCTCACACAAGAGGGGCAGAACCTAGGTTCTAAGAATATAGTGGAAGTGTAGGGCAGGGATTGATTAAACTTGAGTTGGAAATAGTAAGTACTAAAGGGTGATTTGAAAAAAAAACAGTAGTAGTAGAGCTTAAAATACACAGGAATCTGTAGTTACACAAAGGGGTCGAGGGGTCTTGGGAATACATTGTATGAAGCATATGACCCCAGAGAGGGGCAGGTTTGGTCATGCACAGCAACAGCTGATGCTGGCATGGACACAAACCAACCAAAGGAAAAACACATAGAGGGGATATGGGGTTTGGGATTCATAAGTCAGCAAATCACATAACAAGTGACCGACAGAGTGCATACGTAGGGAAACATTAATCTTAAAGGGGAAGGAAACATATTTCAACATGCTAGTAATGTAAAAAAGACTGCAGAAACATAAGCAGAAGTACACAAGAATGAGAAAACTGAAGCAACTAAAGAAAGCATGTTGTTGTTGAGGCTTGAAAAATTAACTAGGACATACCAGTAGAGAAGCAAAGTGCAGTAAGGAAAAATAAGAAAGATTCCACAGTCTAGCTTTGGCTTTCAGCCGACTAGCCAAAGCCATAACACAAATTGCAGTAAAGAAAGAGAGAGGTTTAAGTGTGAGTGTGTGTTTTTGAACTCAAGTTGTTCGTGTCTTAAAGAAAAGAGGGGGTGGGTATTTATAGTTTTGAAAACAAGTGATAAGTAAGGTAATAAGTAAAGTCTTAGCACAAACATGGAAACAATCACAAGTCAGAATCAATTAACACAAGTGATTCCCTTTAATTAAGGAATCACTGTTTAACGGGTACTACCAGGTTTCATTTAAGGAAAGAAAAATCAAGTTTGGACAGATTGATTATTGCCATATAAGGGGCAGTAAAAGCATGCAGTAAACAATCAAGTCCAAGTACAAAATAGGCTTATTTTGAAAAGGATTCAGCAAGGTAAAATATCGCAGTAAAGGGAAAGGAATCAATTAATATAAACAAGCGAGTGAAATTAGGGTTAATAAAAGAAAAGCTTTTGCAATCGGTCACAAGATCAATCAAGGAAGAAACATGATTCTGCACTTCAGTATATAAATAGAGTGAACAGAAGCATCAGCCATGCGAGGCCAAACACATTGGCAAAAAAGATATCACAAACATACAATAGTGGCAGAAATAAGCTAGGATTCAGTAGTAAGAAAAATATTCGAGGCACAGTAGTCAAGTAGATCAAGTCACATAGAATCAACAGTGAAGAAGAACATAGTACCAGATAAGAGAAATAGAAACTGGTAAAGGTCTCACAGTGGTAACAAGTGAGAAAACTTCTAAGAAATTTAGGGCTTCAACAGTAGTCGAGTTTAGGAGATGGTAGGAACTCAAAATCAAATAGGTCAAACGAGGAAAATAGAGTCTGAAACAATGAACACGTGCACATTTAAACAAACAGTCTCAGAACTCGGATAAGACTAAAAGAAACTAGGGCTTTTAAACATGCTGAAATAGATAGAAGAACAACATGAGCAAATCATTTTAAACATAGCAAAATCACAACAACATTAAGATCAGAGAAGATATCTTTTGAAATACTTAAAGGAAAACCCTAATCGTTGAAAAGTGAAGAGTCATTTTGAAAGAAAAGTGAAAGAACCTTCGAGAAACACTTAACAAGTTCATAGTAAGCACAGATCTAAGATAGATCTAAAAGAAATCGAAAGGTCTTAGAGATTAGGGTTTCAGAAAACCCAAAAGAAATGAGAAAGATGTCGAAAGTTAACGATCTAACCGGAAAAGTCAAGGATCCGCCTTGAAAGGCCATGAATGGCCGGAGAAAGGTCGTGGATGGCTGGAGAAAGGCTATGAACAATAGTCGAGAAGGACTGGACCAGACTCCTTCGAGGTCTGGTCATGAAACCATAAAACCAAAAATCCAGGAGCTAGATGAGGCTTATACACGTCCTAAATGACCACGATGGGCCATGGATTAGGTAGGTAGTAGGGTAGGATTAAAGGGCGGCGGCTAGGGTTCAGGTGAGGTTTCAGAGAGAATTGAGAGAAAGGGGAATTCAAGGGCGGCGGGTGGTGGAAAATGATTTAGGGTAAGGGGTTGGTTTGGGTTAAAAATGGTAAGGGGAGTTGGTGGCCGTAGATCATTTTGATCAACGGCCTGGATTGAATGGGGTAGGTAGGGATCCAGGTTGGGTTGATTA